CGCATGCCTGTAATCCCAGCTACTCAGGAGGCTGAGGCAGGAGAATTGCCTGAACCCAGGAGGCGGAGGTTGCGGTGAGCCGAGATCGTGCCATTGCACTCCAGCCTGGGTAACATGAGTGAAACTCCATCTCACCTATGTAACAAATCTGCACGTTTTGCACGTGTACCCCAGAACTTAAAGTGTAATAAATAAAAAATAATAGTAATAACAAATAAAACTTTTTAAAAAGAGGAAAAAAGAAAGAAAAGCAGCCGTGCGTGATGGTGGGTGCCTGTGGTCCCAGCTACTTGGGAGGCTAAGGAAGGAGGATCACCTGAGCCCAGGAGGTCGAGGCTGCAGTGAGCCGTGACCGCGCCACTGCTTTGAAGCCCAAACGATAAGAGACTCTGTCTCAAAAAAATAAATAAATAAAAAGGAGAACTCATCCCTCCTGAACAGCTCACCATTTTAGCTGGAGATGTCAGGAGAGGTTGGGTGGAGGGCGGGAGACGTTCTCAGCTATTTCTGAAATTTCCTGAATCTGCAGTTCTTTCAGAGTAAAAAGTTACGGAGTGAGGTTGGGACTCAGGCGGGCAATCCAGGCCACCGCCAGGGTGCTCGTTTTTCTTTATTTTTAGTTTCTTGAACCAGAAAAACATAGTGTTTTTAGAATTTGTTTAGAATATTCTGTCTACTGAACGTATGACTACGTAAATAGCCACCCAGCGTATCTATCCATTTAGAATCGACGGAATTGGGACCCAGCTTTTACGGTTTACGCGGCTGCTATTTTCATCGTTTAAATGTTGTAATGACGACCATTTTTGCTGGTGTGCACTTCTGGGAGTTTTAACGTATTTTTGACGAAACTCGTGCTTCCATGATTTCTGTGGTTGCTCTCATAGTTTTTATTTAGAATATTTTCCTTCTGCTGCTTGAATCAGCATAGGAATTTTTTATGACAATATTTTTGCTGTACTTTGTACTTTGGGCACAACGTACCCAACAGCTAAAAAACAAGGCTTTCTGCTTGGGGCAGTGGCTCACACCTGCAATCCCAGCACTTTGGGAGGCCGAGGCAGGCGGATCACTTGAGGTCAGGAGTTCGAGTCCAGCCTGGCCAATATGGTGAAACCCCATCTCTTTTATTTTTTTATTTTTTGAGATGGAGTTTTGCTCTTGTTACCCAGGCTGGAGTGCAATGGCGCGATCCCGGCTCACCGCAACCTCCGCCTTCTGGGTTCGGGCAATTCTCCTGCCTCAGCCTCCTGAGTAGCTGGGATTACAGGCATGCACCACCATGCCCAGCTAATGTTTTGTATTTTTAGTAGAGATAGGGTTTCACCATGTTGACCAGGATGGTCTCGATCTCTTCACCTCGTGATCCACCCGCCTCGGCCTCCCAAAGTGCTGGGATTACAGGCGTAAGCCACCGCGCCCGGCAGTGAAACCCCATCTCTATTGAAAATACAAAAATTAGGCCGGGCACAGTGGCTCACACCTGCAATCCCAGCACTTTGGGAGGCCAAGGCGGGCGGATCACTTGAGGTCAGGAGTTCGAGACCAGCCTGGCCAACATGGTGAAACTCCATCTCTACGAAAAATACAAAAATCTAGCCAGGTGTGGTGGTGCGTGACTGTAATCCCAGCTACTCAGGAGGCTGCGTCAGGAGAACCAGGAGGTAGAGGTTGCAGTGAGCTGAGATCATGCCATTGTACTCCAGCCTGGGTGATAGAGCAAGACTCTGTTTCAAAAACAAAACAAAAAATTAAGGCCAGGAGCAGTGGCTCCCACCTGTAATCCCAGCACTTTTGGAAGCCAAGGAAAGCGGATCACCTGTGATCGGGAGTTCAAGACCAGCCTGGCCAACATGGGGAAACATGGTCTCTACTAAAAATACAAAAAGCTGGGCTGGGCGCGGTGGCTCAAGCCTGTAATCCCAGCACTTTGGGAGGCCGAGGCGGGTGGATCACGAGGTCAAGAGATCGAGACCATCCTGGTCAACA